GATAACCTGGCGGATAACTGATACATAGGATAATCTTCATATATGTTCTTTCACAATAAGTTTTGGAGACTCACATTGAGTTACTAAAATCCGAAGTACAAAGCTTGAATGTGAAATGTCTAGTTACATGGATTACATAGGATTTATTGTAAAATATAAGAGGGAAGGGAATATACATGATCATTAGGTAGAGGGTTGGGATTACTTAGGAAGACCTTTTAGTGGTAATGAAAATACGTCTTTATTGGGAAAGTAATTGAACGAAGATGAATTTAGGTACGTGACTACCCAATACATTAGTTTTTTAATGGATGATAATGGAATGATAACTCTATCTGTGCTATCAGTATACGCTGGGGAGTAATAGTGAAGGATGATAGGTGAAGATGAAAGCAGGTCAGTTGATCTTGACAACATATATTGTGAGCAATGGGATTTTCATCCCCGTTATTAACAATCCTTTCCTGCCCTGAGACATTGGCTACACAGAATTATAGAGAGACGACACTAGTATGATGAGATACAAAATAATTAAAAATATTACCTACTCCTTGCAAAAACAGCGACTATGAATGGATTGAAGAAAAAATTATCATAATTAATTTTGAATTAGTGAATGAACATTTTTAAAAGCCTATATTGTATTCCACTGCTGTACAAAGGTCTTTCCACTTTGGGTTTGCTGGAAGAAAACTATTTAAGTTAAGCTCGCCTTTGTACATTTGATTACCTGTATCATAATCTTACTGGTGTGTACAAAAAAGAATTGAAATTAAAATTAAATTAAATCGAGTATAAATAAAACATTAAACCCTTTTACACAACTTTTATTTTATACTTAGGAGATAAATTTTCAAAAATATTTTCTTATTACCTGTTTCCATCTATTTGCGTTAGTATACTCCTATATCCAGATATTAGTCTATTTATATAAATATAAATAGACTAACTCTTAACTTAACACATACGGTAATAAATATATTTAAGTTAGGATATATTAACATTTTTTCAGGGTCGACAACGCGCACGTGACATCCCTGGTATTGCAGGTGTGTCACGTGAGTTACATAGGTTACAATGACAGTTTACCATCAGACGGGCTCTATGCTGGTATAAAAAAAAAACAACTTGTTTGTCAAAATTCGTTAATATCTATTCAGCTGTTAAAGCGCGACTGAGTGATAAAGAAACATCTTTACAACTCTGACATTTATAATATTATTAATATAATATTATATTATACTATACAGAATTATTCGTCTCCTTTTTAAAAGAAACTATATTATATATTTGGTTGATTTAAGGACTTACCTCTTTTTATTAAAAATAGCTAATAATAGATAAGCCTAATAACAGTTACTTAGATAATATTATTATATAAATGAAAACGTCCTTTGTAAAAATCGGCATAATATTTATTATATCTTAATATCAATATTACTTAGATACTCGTAAACATAAGGTTCAGACGGAAGGGTCAGCGAGGCCAAACTACGAACTGATTTCACTAATCGGATTACAACTATTATCGGCGCACATCCATGTAAATTGTTTGCGAAACGGTCGGATGATCTGGTAAATTGAAGCAACTTTGCTTCGAAAAAGCTTCGTCAGGTAAATCAATATTGCAGATTACAATACCTCAGTATTCCATATAAGTAATAGAATGTATCTGATTAAAATTAATACAGTTACTTATATTTCGGTTTAGGTAATAATAATAAAAATATTCTTTTATCTTTCTAATAATAAAAATATATACCTAAATTAAAAAGTTGATGTACCTTGCCATTACATTATATTTATTTATAATTTAAAATAATTTAATCACAATTTTCATTATTTAATTATATTGTTAATATCTTTATTCATCTAATGACATTTAATAATTTAATTCCATTTTAATGTTTATCAAAAACAAAGCGTGCCTATAAATGTAAGAACAGTTAGATCTAATCTAATAGTGTATTGTATTGAAATGTTTCGCTGAATCTTATCTTGGTGGTCCTATAAATAAATAAGTAAATACTTAGGTTGTTTAGTGCGATTTCTTAGTAATATGCTAATGAGTAACTCCTCAGTTCAAATTAATATTTATTTATTTCAAGAAATTAGCAAAACAAGGTATAATTGAAACTGCTGAACCTCAAACGCTTAAAATTTTGCCCTTCTTTTATTATCAAGTAAACTTTTTAATTTATGACATTTTTATGGTATATACCAATATTTCTTGTTAAATTTCAAGATATATCTATGTATTAAATGCGAAAAGCAGAGAATATTACATGGTGAAAGGCATTGGAAAAAGCGTATGCCCAGCTGTGGATAGATATTGGCTAAAATGATATGGAGAAATCTGTCATACTGCATAACAGATGAAGTTTATTTGTAATTGAAGTTTATTAATTTTATTATTTAATTAATGTAATTTTAATTTATTTATAATTTATCCACAAATGTATGAGAGGTATTTTTTTTTTGCACAGTCACTTCTTAGTAATAGAGAGAGTTAAGATTAGATGGAAAAATGTGCAAGGAGTGGTCATAATAAATTGAGTAGTATGTTATTTTTTAAATATATTATGCATACGCTTAATATGGATAACCTTTATAATTTTCAAATACAAAAATCAACGAATTGTGTTATCTGCATGAGTGATCATACAAAAGAATCCTTCTAATTCCTTGGTTGTGTTCGGGCGATGGCGACTACTTTGAATGTTCCTGTTTACGTTCCGAGTAACATGAATACTCAATTATTAAAATTCATATTAATTTTGTAACAATGTCTATATATATTTATAACGGCAATTTTATGAACTTGTTTGTCGTGTCGCATAGACAATGATGCAAAGCGCTGTATACCCCTGAATAAAACAAATACAGGTAGTTCGTAAAATTCTCATTATTCATATATTATGTATATATAACATTTAATTTTTTTTATATTCAACACATATATAACTTCTACAACCACGACAGTATTTGCGGAAAACAAAAGCCACCATAATTCAAAATAAAACATTATAAAAATTTCAGAAATACGCATAAAACATAATATATTAAACAAATGTATTCTTTATTCTAGTTTAAACAAGTCCAATCGTTTAGAATTCTTTTAAAATTCGTCTTTGACAATAAGTTTATTTTAAATGTTTTCTGTGGCCTTTATTACGCTTAGGTGGCTTCATAAGGATCGTTTTATAAAATATATCTTTTATTATAGAACTTTGTCATGTGTATTCATAATATATATAATTAGATACTGTTAAACAATTTATTTGTAATATACTTAAATCTTTAACAAAAATAAAGAAAATAAAATATTTTTAAACGACAAGACGTCATTCCACTAAACCTATCTCATACATAACTGAATATTTTAATAAGACAATTTCGTGAAAATACAGTTTTATGGACTATCTTAAACTAAAATTATTTATTTTGACGTAAATCTATAAGAAAATTACTTCATATTGATACTTATAATAAAGATTACTCTGTGATATCAAACTGAAATATTAATTTTAGATATAGGTTTAGAGCACTACCAGCACTATCTGTTATTTTTAAGTGAACTACATTCACGAAAATATATAAACACATATTATGATATTAAAAATATGAACTCATATGAATTTCATAATTAGATTATAAACACAAACTATTTTAAGATTCCATTTTTATAATAGAGTTTATAAAATTGTCCATAGAAATAAAACTGTTAATTACTAAATTATGAAGTATAAGAATGATATATTTACTCTAGATGCCATTCAATGAGTATTGTCAATTCTGAATCATTTTTTAATACAAAATCATATTTAATATTAGGAGATAAATATAGTATATGTATACGCTATATATATATATATATATATATATATATATATATATATATATAGCGTATACATATCTTGCCTATCTAATCTTGTCTCATGCCTAAAAACAAGGAATTACATAGGGAACAATAAAATAAAAGCTGTAAATCATATGAGAGCCTCCTTCTTTCTTATACAAATATAATTAGTAAAAAAAGGACGAAAGATACACCATCAGTTGTTATTTTTGTCAATTCGTAGCAGGCTAGTGTATAGAAATTGTATACGGCCATATAACCCTAGTAAATTCAGATACAACCGGCTTGCATACTTTCTACATAAACTGTGTCGAATATATAATCTAGTAAAGTAAAATTTGTTACCGGCAAATAATTGACATACCAAACATTTTCTATATGTTAACCCACTACGAATCAAGTAAAAAGTAACTGATAGTATATCTCATGTCCTCTTTTTGCTAATAATATTAGCAGATGTTCAATGGTAAACAATGACCCATATTTTATTATCTAAATATTGTGAAATATTCCTACACAACCGTAATGCCTAAATCATATGTCCTTAATGTTTTGCTAATAATATTAAAATCGCCCATTACGAGAAAAGGTTTAGGTAAAATTGAAAATAATTGCATAAGAAGAAAAGAAAAAGAAGTAATCATATGATTTAATGTTTATATTTATCATTCCTACTATGTAATTCCTCGTTCTTAGTTTTATACATGGGGCAATAGATTAGGGAAAGTATCTGTGCAATTCTTTTGATATAGTTTGTCTAATCTGTAGTGCAATCTACTTTGCTTGACTGTATATGTGCTATCTTTGGTGGTATCATAGATCATATTGACGTTGTCATTTTCTAGCTGCCATTTCTGTGATTTCTTCTTGACATTTTAATTGAAATGTTTCTTTATCACTTTCAACAATAGACATTTGTATGAAATCTATGTAACTAATCCATCCAATTTAAAAATTGTACACTATAAAATAGTTAGCTCATTTATAATATGTTTATATTAAAATTAATGATAACAGTAGGTATCATTAACAATTTTATATGAAATGTAATCTAAGAATATTGATTTAATTTACTAGATTACTTCTAGATGATAACATAGAATTTTTCAGTTTTCTCAAAATAACGGCAGTGACAACTCTAATTTTAATATTCGTCTGTAGTGCTAATATGTATTGTGATGTGAATGTTTGTGGCTTTTGTTAATTTACAAATTACATTTCATGATTTTTACATTTTTATTTTATACTGTAAATCAATTGTTTCTTCTTTTTACTATTAAATTACACGTGAACATATAATTGTAAATTTTTAATATAGAAATGTGTGACAGTGATGATCCCGGCGAGCACAGCCGCTCAGAAATGGATTTGACTGGATTTTTATTTGGAAATATTGATGAGAGAGGGCAACTAGAGGATGATGGGCTGCTAGATGGTGACTCTAAGCGAATGCTTTCTTCTCTGACGCGGTTGGGACTTGGATCAATGCTTTCTGAAGTTTTAGAAACGGAAGATGCAGTCAAAGATGATGAAGAAAAAGGTTTGCTATATATTAAATCTATTGAAATTGAAAATAATATAAGTAATGTCACTGATATAAGTATATTAATAATAATACATTTCACTTAGATTCTTCAGAGTAGTAGTAATCATATACAGATTGTTCTATATCATTGCATATTTTTGGTTATATGTTGAGCAAGATGCTGCATGCTAAATTATTACTTGCTGTGTAGACAAAAAAATTTTTGCTGGTGTTTATGATTAGTTATCTATATTATTATTAGCTGACCTATCAGAATTGTTTATCCCCTTACCATCACCTACCAGGTCTTATTTTTCTTATCGGGATTAAAAAACTATCCTCTCTTACAAATTGGAGCAAACAATACATGTTGATAAAATTTCATTGAAATCAGTTGGTTGGTTTCAGTGACTCAAGTGAGCAAACATCATGGTAATGGATTTTTATATAGTATAGGCAACTATTTTAATTATTTTGCCCATTAATTGGAGATCATGTAAGCTGTTAAGTACTTTAATGATACTGATTATTTATTATTAATTAGTCAATAAAGTTATTTAAGTTGTTTATAAAGATCTTTTAGTATATTAATAATATTTTTTGTCTAAGTTAGGCCTTCATTTGAATGTCGCCTATGGTCCATTTGTTTATATTGGGGAGGCCCATGTTCATCAGTTGATAGATAATGGATGATGTGTTGTGATGTGTGAATGTGATGATCTAGGTGGTGAAAAAGATTATACTATACTTTTATTGACTTCTGACTACCCTTCTTCTAATGGTATTTGTCAAATATTTTTTAATTAGAACAAAATATTAAATTATCACAAATATAAAGAACACACACAATGTATTTTATCTATATTTCTGATTTATTTTTTTATTATTTTTTTTCTATGGAATTTCGCAGCTCATTTTTGGCCACAACAGAATATCAGTGTTTTGCTCTTTTTAGGGCAAAGCAATAATCTTGAGTTGTAACCATTTTGTGTTACTGTGGCACACACATGAAGGGAAAAAAATTACAAATTTTATGCATTTTGTTTATATTTTTTGAAATATTATTGGACATGTATCTTTTTTTTTTATCTGTTTTCACTGTGCATTTATGTCTATTGTTGTTTGTGTGCTGTAAGTAATGCAAATAAATTATTTATCAATCTATATAATAATATTTTATGTATTTATATATGTATGTATTTATTGTATGTGTATATTTATTTACTTAAAATATGTATGTTTATATTATATGAATATATCAAGTTATTTTTCCTCTACTCAAAAATGCACCACCTACATATTATCCGGTTTGCCCAATGGTTGACTGTGAGAGAACACCATCTGGTGTACACCATGCATGCACCATCTAGAATTGTACTGTGCCTTAAACTTTAAATAAATAAATAAATATATCTAATATAAATTTAATGACAATATTTTTGTCATTTTAGCATAACATTTATTATATAATTATATAATAAAATTTCTTTACAGATTATACAGAAAAAAGTCCATCTGCTGTTGACTTCTTTGATATAGATGATGTTGCCGAAGACTTGAAAGTAAGAACAACATCTGACAATAACACCATTTAAACAGACAATATGATTTTTCTGTCTAAGTTCTATGCATATAATGCTCTGGTTATCTGATTTGACATAGGACAAATTGGTAATTTTGTATTTGCTCATCACAGTTTTTCTGTCATAGTAAAAGTTTCTTCAGGAACATTGAAAATATTTATTAAAAATTTACTATACAGAAATACTTCTCTTTTATTGTGTTTTGTGGGGATTCTGTAACATTCTGTGAATTAATTTCTTTTGTATATTAACTTTTTAAAACTTTTGTTGGCTCTAATAATAAAAAAAATAGCTATGAATATTATATGAAATAAATCAATTGTATAAGATACAGATACTGGAATGGAATTAAAGAAAGTAGAGATGTGGAAGGGATAAAAAATATTGAAGATGATAGTTACCTATGTTATATACATTTATAGTTATTATCTAAAATGAATTTCCCAGTTCAATGATTGGTACATTTATAAATAATCTTGCCAATGAGTGTTGATTATGGAATAGTAGTTATCTATTATGTGTTATTATCTTACTAATGTAATAAAATTGTAACTAGGTGATGTCTCTATAGGGGAGATATTTAAGAAAAAATAATATGGAGGGACTAATAAGACCAATAGATGTCAAAACAATAATTTTTTAAATTTGTCTGTCTGTCTGTATGTTTTTTCCGACACCACACAAAAACTACTATACCAAATTGGATGTGATTTTCACAGTTGTATTCCTAAAACTCTAATTTAGAAATTTTTGATCTGTCATTTTGATATGTCATGTAGAAGAAGTCTATTCTATTTTTTTCCTACTTCTGAATTCCACACATAAAAGGATGATTACCACATACTTACATGTAAATATATATTTACCACATATTTATTAATACTATTCACTGTTTATGTAATTTAGTTGATATATTCACTATGAGTATATATATTAGTCAACACTTATGCATATAATTCACTAATTATTTGTGCACCTAGTGGTGTGTGTATCTTAATACTAATATGATAATATAGATATAAAATCAAATACTAAGAAACAATTATTCATGCATATTACTATTGTGATACTCGATGTAGCAACTTTCATATGTGAGCTTATAAAGTAAATGGCTTAAATTGTTAAAGACATTAGTATTTTATAGATATTTATCTAATCTTAGTTTTTTGATGAAAAGTATTCTTTTTTTCAAATGACGTACTTTTTTTTTAATAAATAATACTTAACAGAATTGAAATACATTACAGAACATTAAGAAAATAATGTTCAATCTTTATAAACAAAAATTGAAAGACAATCAAGATGGTATAATATCTTGACATTTTGGAAGTTCTTTGTATTTAATTTTACATTTTTGCACTCTTATTTTCAATGTTGTGGGTTTATAATGAAATGTTGGGCCTATGAAAAGCATAAGTACTATCGCACAACGAAATTTAATAATACATTATTGTAAAGCACATACTACACTACTTAATATGTTAAACACAGTGTTAATATATGTTTGTATTTGACCTTTATGTTTGTCCTCACATTTTGTGTAATACTAATAGGAGGTAGAGATAAGCACTAACCAAGAAGCACCTGAAGACACAGAAGTAAAAACAGAGGTAACGGACACAGAGACACCAAAAAATGATAAGACTCCTGAGGTAGACACTTTGAGCGATTGTCCACAGAAAGAAGATGAGGTGGCAAATGAAGATTGGACTGGTGAATCATTTGTTGAAAGTTCACAACCAACAAATGATGAAGGCTATGAAGGTGACATGGAAGGAGATGGCGGTCTTATGCCACCACCCTCTACTATTCCGTAAGCCTAGTATTTTTATATCATGTTAATATTATTAGTAATATAGAAATTTCACAGTTTGAAAAGAATGAAAAAGTGCATTAAATATTGATGATTGCTATTTTTCTAAAATTAAATTAATACTTTGTTTGGAGAAATAAGAAGAACTGCATTTGCTTAAAGAAATAAGACTTTTTTAAATGCTTACCTGTGCAGTTAATTATGCTATTTCTCAAAGTACAATATAGTTTTCTTTGTGTCAAATTTGTTTTCTTGAAAATCTAATGTTCTTTTCTTTTTCACTGTTTTCATTTATTTTTGTATGAGAATATAAATTTGTTCTATAAAACATTCTACTTAGTTGATTGGTTTTTAAACTTCGTTCATAATGGTATGTTATGTTACACTACAGGTATAACCAATAATAAACCATACGGCCTGCCTCTTGGTGTATAGTTATTGCATCATATTGACCACGAGGGGCAAGAATTAAAAAGGCTTTCCCTAGAAATTGTAATAATATTCATTACTTAGCTGTAGTTGTATCTCCACTACACCATTAAAATAATTATAAATAGATTATATTTAACGAACATAACAAATATTATTTATATATTAATTAAAATTAGAAATACTTATTATAATAAATATTATTAATCATACTTTCTTGTTTTTCAGGCAAGCTAAAAATGATAAACCCAAGAAACTAGAAACTCCATTAGCTGCTATGTTACCTTCCAAATATGCAAATGTTGATGTTACAGAGCTGTTTCCAGATTTCAGACCAGACAAAGTGAGTAAATATATTTAAAAGTGGAAGGATTCTCTATTGATATTTTTTTTTATTAATCCATTTTTAGATATTTAAAAACATTGTTTGTATTACACTAATAAGTAGTTTAGCATACTTAATTTTAATTATTGAGTTAGTTTTAAAATAAAAAAAAATGTTTTTATTATCTATATCTTTTTGTATATTTTATTAATAGATTTTGATAATAGTGTTAATTTTATTGATACAAATTTTTTATTGTCAAGTAAAGACAATTGTATAATTTATTACATAATTATTTAGTTTATGGTCGATAGAAATAAAACAAATTTTCGTTCTGTTGACACATATTTTAATTTTATATACACTATCGGACATATCGCGAAGCCATTGCAGGTATATTGTATCTACATGCTTGATTTTTGTTGCCTACGTTTAGACGTGGATTGTACCACGTTGTTGTCAGGACAGGTCTGTACAAGAAGACGCCGTTTACTTTAGTTCTATCACAATCGCGTTGCGTTAAGTCCCAATAGTGTATATAAAAAATTGTAATAAAATCTGTTATTTTTTTTGTGCCTCAAGTTTTATTATTAACAAATTATTGCGTTATTCATCAGGTGTTGTTGTTCTCACGACTCTTCGGGCCGGGAAAGTTGTCCAGCTTACCACAGATATGGCGTGGTGTGAAAAAGCGTAGACGGCGCAAGCGAAGTGGAAGCACAAGCAGTGATACACCTGTACAACCCGAGAATCAAGAGACTCAGTACGCTAGTGATGACGAGGAGAAGTTTCTTAAGTAAGTGTTAGAATAATTCTAATATTAGTGCGTATTGTGTCAGCCGTTAACTGTCCACTGCTGAACGTAGCCTCTCCCATGAAGAGGGTTCTGACCCCGTCCGTCTTAAAATTTTGATTGTAGGTAGTATTTGTAATGAAAATGGACATGGATTATTTTTCACCACGGTTAACCAATATCGGCCATGGAATTAAGTTGCGACTATTACGTTAAGAAATTTAAAAATATCACTTAGATATGATTCTAAATATATTGTTGAACACTAATATTATCCTCTTAGACCAATGGAGGAAAATCAGCAGTCATCAAACGAAACGTCTACCCAAGGTACTGGCGACAAGTCGCAACGACCAACTCCTGCTCATTGGCGGTTTGGGCCCGCCCAGGTTTGGTACGACATGTTGAATGTGCCCGAAACCGGCGATGGGTTCGATTATGGCTTTAAACTTAAGGTAATAATGTAATATTAACTTAATTACATCTAATTGAAATAGCTATTACGATTATACAATTTATGCATTACAAGATTGATTATTTCTACATCTACTTTTCATATTCTATTAAGTGTTATTACTTTGTATGGGTAAATTTACATATAATAAAACCAAGGTAATAATTGATCTATTATAACATTTACGAATGAGAAAATTCAACAATATTTGAATATTTTACACATAGTTTTAAAATATGACGTACTTATATGAAGTTGTACGATAACGAATGATGCGGAAGCAGTATTGTATTTTATAGCTTTTGTAATTGAGTAGTTTTTTATGTACACCACCTTGTAGAGTGTATTTTTAATATCTTATAATATTAGATATATTCTATGATATAGATTAGAGGTATTCTATGGTAATATTTATATTTTTTACTTTATCGTAGGTAATAATGTAATTATACATTTAGTTATTTTTAAATAATAGATTAATTTTAGCATCATTAAATAAATATCGTGTTGGTAACATAAAATTTTATTGTAGACGTTTTGAAAATACTTAAGGTATAATATTTTTAGCCACCGTCTCCTGAGCGCGATGAAAAAGAAGATGTAAAAGTACAAGAAAATTCAAATGCAGACAGCCCTGACAGTGGATTTCCTGACGATGCTTTCTTGATGGTCTCCCAATTGCAATGGGAGGATGATGTTATATGGGATGGAAGCGAAATTAAACACAAGGTTTGTAATATGTATTTATTTTTTAACACGCTAAGCTTGCGGGGTAAGCAAAGAGAACGAAATTCCAAAAGCCACTATCTTTGTGTATAATCAAATGCATCATTAACATTCATAAATCATGTATAACACAACTTTAGATAACTCTTTAATGTTCTATTATTTGGGAAGGGATCTATTCACTATAAGGATTAGTCTACAATTACTATGTAGACCAGGTTTTTTACTCTACCTTCATGATGACTAGGAGTGCTGTCATATATTCTTACTATGTTACCACATAGTATTTTTTTAATTATGGTCTTTTAGAGTATTGTATTAATTTAAATATCGAAGCATCAATTTCGAAAATTATATATATATAATAATAATAAATAAGATTTAGTTCTAAACTAAGCAATGTTTGTATTGTAGATATATTGGATTGTACTGTAGATAGCAACTTTTAGAAGTATTTAAATACTTTTTGTTAACATATATATATTAAACATTATAAAAATATGTTAATGAATAATTGAATAATTTATAGGTGCTGGCTCGTTTGAACAGTAAGAGCAACGCGGCCGGCTGGGTGCCGACGTCGGTGAGTCGCACAGCGCAGCAGTTCTCGCACCCAAGGCCGCAGGCGCCTGCGCCGTTGCAGGCAAAACCACCCACGTTAGTTTATAATATTATAATAATAAACCTTGATCAACAAATACAGGGTTGCACTTTTGCATATTTTTTGCCCTAGTATTGATGGTCTTAAGTTGCCAGGGGCCGGATTGATTATATTGGCAGGCCGGATTTGGTAGTAGTTTGGAGACCTCTGATTTAGAGTATTCACCAATCGATATTCCATTTATAAGCTGTTTCATCTGTCAGGATAAAGTAAAGTTAGATCAATTACAATTAGTTTTTTTTACTTGTCCCCCCCGTAAAATGTATTGTTTCAAGTAATGAATGCTCTAGGTTTGTTGGAATGTAATGAAAGAAGGACAATATATGCAATATATAGTGAGAGAATCTGACATTGTGACCAATTTTATGAAAGCTGTTAAGCGAATTTTGCTTCTCGTCTTTTTGAATTCCTTGCAACTTCAATTTGTTGTTGTTCCTTTTACAAAGATATTTTTTTCTTTATGATCATTTTTTTTCTTCAGATCATTATGAAAAGGATATGTAATTATACGTTATTATCTTCATATTACAATTACAGTTTGGATATGTAATATGATATTAAAAAATAAATAAGAGAGAGAAGGCAGTGTTATATTTAGTGATGTTCCTTATTTTGATGTCTACAGATCTGCGGCGTCTACATCTAATTCTCAGTCTGGTGCTACACCTGGTGAAGGCGAAGATAATACTTGGTACAGTATATTCCCTGTTGAAAATGAGGAGTTGGTGTATGGCACATGGGAGGATGAGGTCATATGGGATGCAGAGAGTATGAATAAGATACCAAAACCTAAGATCTTGACTTTGGACCCCAATGATGAAAATATAATTCTAGGAATACCTGATGATGTAGACCCATCAAAAATAACTAGAGGTAAATTTTATTTAAGGTATTCTAATTGTAAAATGAATTTTTACTATATCTTTATTTTAGTAATTTTGGTTTGAAGTAGCATATACCTACTACTTTTTTTTTATACCACTGTGGTGGCAAACAAGAACAGATGGTACATCCCCTATGAACGCCAATAAAAAAACCTGTTAATTAAGAATAATATTAAAAACCTTTTCATATATTCGAAAACATCTCTGAAACCGCGTTGTACGCGACCATTTAGGCTGTAAGGTATGAGGGTGAACTCCCTGTCGATGGCGAGCAGTACGATGATAGAAAATGGCCGCAGGCATCATATTGAATAATTCCTCTGCGCAGAACACGCAGATACTTGAACAAATACATCCCTAATATCTCAATAAAAATATGAATTATAAATAATATTTATTTTCATATATTCATATCAGTTAACTGTCCACGCTGAACATAGCTAAGTTGTTAGGTTGTTGCAAAAGCAGTTAGCCTTTGGTAATGGTTTAAGATGGATACTACTGCCCATTCCTCGGTCATTAAGTTCTCTTAGTCGCCTTTTACTATACTTATGGACGAGATGGCCTATTCTATGCCAGAATCACACTGCAATCAATAATATTACATACATACATTTATTTCTTCAGTTAACGATTTGATTTAATTTTAGAACGAGGGCCTGCTCCTAAAGTAAAGATTCCACATCCACACGTGAAGAAGTCAAAGATATTGTTGGGAAAAGCTGGTGTAATCAATGTGTTGCAAGAGGACGCACCTCCGCCTCCACCGAAATCACCTGACAGAGATCCATTGAATATATCTAATGATGTGTAAGTATTAAACTAAAAGTAAATCGAAAAAAAAAATTAATATTACTGTTACCAATTTATATATAATTTTACTTTTTTTAAATTAAACTCATGCTGATACAAATTTGTAGATACTACCAACCAAAATCTCAGAATCCTCGTCTGAAAGTGGGTGGTGGTCAGCTAATCCAGCACAGCACCCCAGTCGTAGAACTTCGTGCTCCATACATACAACCTCACATGGGGCCAGCGAAACTGCGCGCATTCCATCGACCAGCACTCAGAAAAATGTCTTATGGACCCCTGGCTTCACCTGGGCCTCACCCCGTGCAGCCATTGTTGAAATATATTAAGAAGAAAGCTAAGGTGAGCTGTATTATATAAACAGTATAAAGAAAATGTTCTAATTTCTTCTAGTATTATGTGTTAATGATATTTTGCATTGGTGTATACCATGATTACTGAAAAATTTGAGAGTAATTGTAAGCTAGTAGTTGTTGTGGTTTGTAATGTCTCTTACATTTATCATATTCAAGAAGTAAATTAATATGATACACTCAGCACATTTCATACAAAAGATGACACAACTGTGGCTATTCGTATATAAGCAAATGTGTGTGTATGTATCAAGCATTGTACATTCTTTTTTCAAATGTTGTTCAAATAAGTCACTTGTGTAGGATCTTTTACTATTGTCGTTTATAATGTGATTTATTTCATAATGATTGTATATTTACCAACAGCAACGTGAAGCTGAACGTTTGGCATCAGGCGGTGGTGACGTATTCTTCATGCGCACTCCAGACGATCTAAGCGGTAGGGACGGTGAGCTGATATTGGTGGAATTTTGTGAAGAACATCCACCTCTCATTAGTCAAGTTGGCATGTGCTCCAAGGTCAAGAACTATTACAAAAGAACCGCCACAAAGGTCAGTTAAAATAAAGTACACTTTTCCTTCATTTTTTAGCGCAAGTAACGATAAGTCACATTTGTTGAATGTATGAAAACTTAAAGATTCAGATAATTTAGGTATAATTAATATTATAGTGATGTTATGGTGGTAAAAAAATTATAAAACCAATTGTGGAAGAAAATGAAAATATTTAAAATAATGAATTGGTATATTTTACATTATGTAGTATATTAATTCGTTTATTGCTTTTTTATACTAGGACGCCGGGCCGAAACCATTAAAGTATGGCGAGGTGGCATACGCCCACACTTCGCCATTCCTCGGTATTTTGATGCCGGGCGCCACGCAGCCCGTCATCGAAAACAACATGTACCGTGCGCCAATCTATGAGCACACGCTACCGCAGACTGATTTCCTTGTTATCAGAACCAGGTAAAATTAGTTTCTAAGTGCTTACAAGTAGTTTCTAAGACAGGGTTGGCCAACTGGTCGATCGTAACTATTAGTCCAGTCGATCGTGGAAAGGATAAAATATAATATTTTGCTAATCTAGCGGAAGGTGCTGAGATGCTATGCTCACGTGTAATAAGTAGTTACTATGAATAATTTTCAGTTTTATGTTTTCCCCCTTAATATAATAAGAAACCTACAATACTATATAATGGTGTACTGAACTATATTGTTTCATTTGAGATTTCAAGAAGTATGTAATTGATAGATTGCATAGGATTTTGTCAGTAAACAGTAAATCTTAATCAGTAGATCTAATCAAGTCGGCCACCCGTGCTCTAAGTGTATGGTTTCAAATAAACTTTATTCTGGATAAATAGTGAGAACAAATTATCATTTTATATGCGACAAAAATAATGCTCGTTATTGAAAATGAATAATGTCAACGACCCTTTTCATACTCTACCATTCTCTATACATTACATTAAATCCATGAAAAGATTTAACATATTTTTTTTTGCTGTAACGTCAATTTATCAATTTTTATATACTTATTCGGTTAGCACTTTACTTGTATATTTCAGGCAAGCATATTACGTACGAGAGGTCGATGCCTTGTTTGTCGCCGGACAAGAATGCCCGCTGTATGAAGTTCCTGGTCCTAATTCCAAAAGAGCTAACAATTTTGTTCGAGATTTCTTACAAGTAAATTTTTTTTAAATCACAATTTCTTTAAAAAAATTCTCTAAAATCTCTAAAAGTTTTTCAACGATTTTTCTTTACAATCAATATTGTTATTTTTTCAGGTTTACATTTATAGGCTGTTTTGGAAGTCCAAAGATAACCCTCGTCGTATCAAAATGGACGATATAAAGAGGGCTTTTCCATCACATTCCGAGAGCTCAATCCGAAAGAGACTAAAGTTGTGTGCAGATTTTAAGAGAACAGGACAAGATTCAAACTGGTTAGTTGTTTCAAAGGTTATGAAACATAGAAAATATTTAATCACTTACTTATTTTAACTTTATAAATTTAAAGTTTTATATTAATTTGTGTTTAGTATGATTATTATATTTTATTATAAAAAAATATATATTATTATTATGTACTTGTGTTACTAGACCAAGTAAAATTGATGAAAATTATGTGCCTATTTTAAAGGTGGGTGATAAAGCCAGACTTTCGGTTACCATCCGAAGAGGAGATCCGGGCAATGGTCTCCCCAGAACAATGCTGCGCGTACTTCAGTATGGCGGCCGCTGAGCAAAGACTGAAAGATGCAGGGTATGGAGAGAAGTTTATATTTACACCACAGGAAGACGATGATGAAGAAATGCAGTTGAAGATGGATGATGAGGTTGGTAATAATTATTAGAATTTATTTTTAAAAATTGCTGAATCTTAAATTGTGAATTTCCATTGGATTTAGATTATTGAATTCTGAGTGGTCATTAGTTGGTTTTTGGTAACTATAGGTTAAAGCATTCATCTTAAAAATAAGAATGGTAAAGGTTAGAAAGTCCCACAATAAGCAAATGACTATGATTTACAAAGGTCATAGTAGAGGATTGTTTGTAACGTAATTTTATTTTATTTTTTGTTATGCTGTCAAGTAATTCTCTAATTTACTTCAAATCCATATATTTAATTTTATCTATGAATTATGTAAATATTTAATTTACAGGTAAAAGTAGCGCCCTGGAATACAACTCGTGCGTACATACAAGCAATGCGCGGCAAGTGTCTCCTTCAATTGACGGGTCCCGCCGATCCCACCGGCTGTGGTGAAGGGTTCTCCTATGTGCGTGTGCCCAACAAACCCACTCAGCAGCCCAACGAGGAGCAACAGCAGAAGCGAACTGTCACTGGTACAGACGCTGACTTGAGGAGGCTCAGCTTGAATAATGCTAAAGCTTTACTGCGAAAGTTCGACGTGCCGGAAGAAGAGGTAACATTTGTTATGTTTTAAGTTGAAAACATGTCTTTGAAAATTCTAATAAAAAATAAAAAAAGAACATATTTTAGGTTATAACATCAAATGGTTTTTACTGTGGTAAATTAGCTGTCAAAGTGTAGCATAGATATAATTTTATATTTTTTTTTACCATATTATTCCATTTTATTTAAGATAAATGAACACTATATTTAATAAAATGGTGTCAGAATAACGCGATTATATGGCTATATTATACATATGTATTGTGATCATTCAAAGATGTTTTTTAAGATGGCATTAGGTAATAATAGAAAAAAATGTATTCCAAATTACAATAATAGTGCCTAATTTTGATAAGTACCTATGTTCCATTTTTGTATATTTAGATATATTAGTATATTTACGTAGATTAAGATTTATATTGTATTATTAATTTTTAGATCAAGAAATTGTCTCGATGGGAGGTTATCGATGTAGTTAGAACGTTATCGACGGCCAAAGCGAAGGCAGGTGAAGAGGGAATGACGAAATTTTCGAGAGGAAACAGATTTTCCATCGCTGAACATCAAGAAAGGTAAGTCACATACTTATTGTCTGATCTTCTGGCCAGGGTATTTTGATAGGAGATCTAATGAAGATGTATTCCTGGAAAATCACTTTTTTATATGATTTGGAAAGACAAAGAAATCGACGATTCATCTGATACAATGTGAATAATTCGTCGCATAGTCGGAACCTCATCATCACTGGGTAAATACACTGTGATGAATGAAGTGTATTATAAGTTGTCGTTCTTAAGGATGAAAGTGTTATGACTATCTGTGTTACCCAATGATTTCACTGGTTAACCAGCAGGTAAAGAAATAAAGTTGTGCAAGCGTAAAATCTTAGCGGCCAAGACATGGAAGATCTGTCTCACTTGCAACTTGGGTAAAATGAATTGTTTAATTTACTCTTGGGTTTATTTCGAACTTTATCGTTGCTATAGTTATTGTTAATAAATGTAATGTAAATATATTTACATTATTTTTAGGTATAAAGAGGAGTGTCAACGTATATTTGATCTGCAAAATCGCGTTTTGCAAAGTACAGAAGTGTTGAGTACTGATGAAGCGGAGAGCTCTGTGAGCGAGGAGTCTGATTTAGAAGAGATGGGCAAGAACATAGAAAATATGTTAGCCAATAAGAAAACTACGGAACAGGTATGTAACACGACTCTCGCATATAAATTTATGATGACGTTATATACCCTATGTTAATCCTTGCGTTTTAAGTTCTATTGCTGTTAATTGTGTTTTAATTTGTTGGCATTCTAATAAAAATACAATGTTTTTCACAATTATAGTTATCACTAGAAAGAGAGGAGGCAGAAAGAGCGGAACTTAGAAAAATGATTTTAGGACAGTCAGAAAAGAAACCACAAATTAATCAAGCTGACCAGCAACAGTCTTCGAATCAAGGTAAGTCTTTAGTTACTAAGAAAAATTATAACTATCTTTTTTAATTTTTATTTAAGGAATATTATAATATGTTATTATATAACGTTGTGTGCATAGTGTTACTCGTGTTTTGACGCCAAGTCTAGTATATAAAAAAAAAAACTTATTTTGCACGATTACACTCAATATTAATTCAATATTGATAATTTGATAAATTTTTGTATTTGTAGTAATATTATAAATATAAAAGTGAGTTTGTAACCATCGCCTATAGACATGAGCAGTACCATGGACATAACAGAGTATACTTTTTTGCCCATGATACCCCTCATGCGTTGCCATTCCTGAGGACTCAGTTGTTATTCCTCTGTACTAAGTAAATTCACGTCATAGGGTGGGAACCCTTCAAACCGAAACACAGCTATGCAAACACAACTGCTTCACGGTTGAAACACGAATGGGACAGAGGTACCCAAGCAATCGACTTTTGTACAAAATCTCCCTCTGGTCATGTAGACGATGTTGCGAACAGCTGGTATATATATTATAATTAACTTAAATTGTTTCTTTACGAACTTGTAATACTGTTTATGTTACTTCTGCAGACACAATAAGTTTGTTGTTATCATAGGTCGCGTACTCCGAATCGTTCGTACATTCCGCAATACGTCAGGGCAACGCTATACTCGCGTGGAACTAGTTCGGAAAGCGGCCGTCATTGAAGCATATACTAAAATACGTTCCACCAAAGATGAAGCTTTTATCAGACAGTTCGCCACAATGGACGAGACGCAGAAAGAAGAGATGAAACGAGAGAAGCGAAGAATACAGGTAATTTTGTTTTACAGGAAAGACATTGGTATGAATTATTTGATAAACGGCCTTGTAGTAACGAAATAAAAATCGTATTATATATTTAAAAGTGTCTCCATATGATGACAAAGAGAAATAGAATATAATATGTTACCATTCTTTTATTTATTATTCGGTTTGTGTTACTCTATTTTGGAGAACCATTCACTCAATTTGTTTGCTGACTGAATTGATTTTCAATTTAATCTTTGTTTGATAAATTTTGGTTTTAAAATAATGGTTGTGTAACAATAAACTTTGTTTTTTTTTTATTTTTTGTATTATTTAGTATATTTTCAATTTTTTTTTGTTTTTTGTTTTAAGATAAATATTTTAGTCAATATTGTAATTTTTTTTTATGTAATAACAGGAACAATTAAGACGTATAAAGAGAAATCAAGAAAAAGAAAGACTAGCTGGAAATGTTTCAGTACCTGGTTCATTCCCGGGCGATAGTAAGTTTTAATGAAAATTTTTACAACTTATCTTTTAACAGGCAGTAAATTGTTTTAATTTTTATAACTAAAAATAATTTTTAATTCATTTATTATTGGATTTTAAGGTAGAGAAATTTTAAATTGTTTTATTCAAAAATTAAAAAGATACTAAAACATGTTTTGTTATTTTGATATTGCATATAGGTAATTAGTGCATGGAATAACTTTTTATAAAGTATGTTTGAAAAATTTTGTTTACAGGTATTAATAGTATGAAGTTGGTAAAGAATACTTTAAATTTTCAGGTAACATGTCGTCTGGAGATTTGAGTTCGCCTTCCCCAGGTCTAATACCCTTAGGTCAAATCAAGCAAGAACCCGATTTGCATACGCCCTCACGGCGCCGCGCTAAATTGAAACCGGATTTGAAATTGAAGGTAAAAAACCCTTATATATTTTTTTAATTAAGCCACAATTTTTTGTAACAAATTTTATAGTTATTGTTGTAGATAGAATTTTTATGTAAGCCATTTATGTCACACGTAAATTTACAAATGAGTTTATACAATCAAGTTATTTACGCTTTTATAAATACAAAAAAAAAAGATAAAATACAAAAATATGGTTTCGCCATGTGTGTCGCAGTGACCCAAATGGGCTACAGCTCAGTGATAGTTTTGCACAAGCTATTGACGGCAACTGAAGCCCATTCAGTAGTAACTTTTTTATTCAATTGTACGGAAATAAAAGTAATTTGTCGTCTGGCGAGGTTTTCGTAGAGATTGAAATAGGTGCTTCAAAAAATTCGTATTGAGGTTCCTTCACAGTTGACAATGAGTATGTGACATCTCTAATATTGCAAGTCCATAGATAATGGATATATAAAGGATTGTTTGTTTGTTTGCCACCTTTGTGGCATTAGCAAAGTCCTTTAATGCAGCTTTAATAGTCTTATATAGCTTTTTAATCAAGCAAGAATTTATATTGGTATATAAATGTTTGGTTGTATAGAAACATGTTATATCATAAATACATTTAGCTAAATTAATATAATTATTATAGTGTGGTGCATGTGGACAAGTGGGACATATGCGGACGAATAAGGCGTGTCCGCTGTACACCGGCGCGGCGGGCAGTGGGCCAGCCTCCCCACCCGACCTGGACAGTGAAGCGCCGCCAGAGCCTGATGATGATGATTTGGGTTACGTTGACGGCACCAAGCTCACATTGCCTACCAAAATCATCAAGGTTAGTGTAACATTTTTTTTATTATTTTACCAGATATACTATTTTTGTTATTATTTTACCAGAGGGAGACTTTGTACAAAAGTCGTTTGCTTGGATACCTCTATCCCATTCGTGTTTCTACCGTGAAGAAGTTGTTTGCATGGCTGTGTTTCGGTTTAAAGGGTGGGATATGTTGTGAATTTACAGGGAACAGAGGAATAACATCTGAGTCCTCAGGAATGGCAACACATGGGCGAAACAGTATACTCTGTTATGTCCATGGTACTGTTCATGTCTATAGGCGACTGTTACCACTTTCCATCAGGTGGGCCGTCAGCTTGTTTGCCATTCTAAGTTGCATAAAAAAATCTGTCAGATACTTCAGTATTATTTTTAGTAGTTAAATTGTGCTTAAATTGTGTAGTTAAACTTCATACTAATATTCGTCTTCCTACACGGACTTAGAATGTTTCTAGATCAATGTTCACGTATTTACTTGATACCCAAGTGGACAAACCTTAGCTCTTTTTTTTTGTTAATGATAACAAAAATCAATGCTTGCATTGTATGTCGGTACGATGAGCAAGATCTTACCATTCAAAAGTGGCAACACATGAGGGTTTTATAGTATATTGTACTGAAATAATAATAGTCCTTTTATTTTACCTTACCACATCGCTTGTGTGTGATACCCAGTCATATAATATTATTTTATGGCAGAGAAGTTTACGAAATTGGAGTGATTTTATTTTTATAAACGTAAAATGTATATGCAATATATTTATGAAGCATACTTACCTAAAATATCAAATGTCATATCTAAAGTCTACATTTGTACTACAATATTTATGTATTTACATATATAAAACCTATTACATTGTAGCAATCAGCGGAAGAGATGAGGCGTCGTGGTAGTGGGTCCCGCCGCGGAGATTTCCGTTCGGGTGGTGGTTTTGGTATGGGGGGTATGGGGGCTCGTGGCAAGCGACGCGGCGGGGCGAACGAGGCTTGTGACTATTTGGTGCGACGGCCGGCTGAGCGACGCCGTACCGATCCGCTTGTTACGCTCTCCTCATTGCTCGAGGACGTGCTCAACCATATGCGCCATCTTCCCGATGTGCAGCCCTTCTTGTTCCCTGTTAACTCAAAGGTAAAATTGTTATTGACACTAATACCACCACTATAACTCCAATAGTCATATTAATGAACTATAAAACGCTCTGCACCGTGATACTCAACCGAGGTTTTTTTTTTATATATGTTACTTCTTATATTCGAAAATTGTCAATATTTTTTTTATTAAAATCATCCTGTTAAACTCGTACTAATTTTTTCAAAATTGGAACATTTTCTTTGGAAAAATAATTTAAATTGTTAAGTTATTAAAGTAAAAAATGCAGTGCTTTTTATAGTTAAAATAACATTAATATTGGATTATGAATACAGTAAAGTATCAAATTTTATTTATGTTACTCTAGTTTTTGTTTTCATTGTGTTATAGTAAATAAATAAATTAATATGTAAAATGTAATTAAAGTTACCTCAAATTAATAAACATATTTCATTTTGAAAAGCCTACTTACTACTTACTAAATTTTATGTGTTCTGTTATTAAGCATTTTTTAATTATAATGTCTTGAATCAGAAATTGCTAATACCATCTGTGAAGGCGATTACATATTTTTTAAATATATACATATGTTAGACTGTAATGTATAAAATTAGTAAGCCTATGTTTATATTAAAACTATTTGCCTAAAATAAATAATAGAAATAATATCGATGTCTCTCAAACAGATGGTGGCTGATTATTATCGTATAGTGTCACGTCCAATGGATCTACAAACGATCAGGGACAATCTACGACAGAAGCATTATCAGAGCAGGGAAGACTTCTTAGCTGATGTTAACCAAATAGTTGAGAACTCGACACTTTACAATGGTAAATATAATGAGTTCTACGTATCTTGTTTATAAAGTTTAATTTGCATTCGGAAAATTTTATATTTGTGATAATTGTATGACTACGTAACTGTTTTTTTTTTATAAAATTGTTATGGGATATTTTAGTTAGATTTCCGCCGATTTTGATTATTCTTTTTGCAATCGTTTGAATTTACTCTCGAGTTCTCATGGTTGGGACCATTAATTTTGTAAAAGTTGGCATCGGTTTTTGTGGGACAAATTCATAAAAAGTATTTAATATATAATGTCTAAAAGAAATATTTAATACGTATTATCATAAATATTGTTGATCGATCCATAAAATTATTCATAAATATGTTTGAACTAATCCAGTTTTATATTATTTTTATAAATTGTTAAAATTTTAAAACAGTTGTCGTAAACAACACAGTAAATTTATAAAATTTCCGTTGTGCATGTATATAGACATGATTTATATTTTTAGGTCCAACAAGCAGTCTCACAGTAGCGGCGCAACGGATGCTACAACGTTGTGTCGAAAAGTTGGCTGAGAAGGAGGAACAAATAATTAAATTGGAGAAACAAATCAACCCGTTATTGGATGACAATGACCAGGTAAATAATTAAAAATCATATTCTATCTATCTATCTATCTATCCTATTTAAGAGCTACGCTCTTGTCGGTGGAGCTCTCGCCACTCACTACGATTTTCAGCGAGTCTCTTCACCTCTTGATACGACACGACACCAACTCCTTCCTTAATCTGTCTGATGCTTCTATCTTACCTTCTATTATAATGTTCATAAGTTCGTCGTGTCGTCAACATTTTTTCCCTTCTGTCCTCAATAGTTATGGAGCACACATGAAACGAAAAATAATATTGATATCTAAAATATATGAAATTACATTTAATGTCGGGGAGAATCCATTTAAATTTGCTGTGATTTGTTTGAGTCAAAATCTACACACAGTCATCTATTTAGATGTTCTTTAATGTGTGATTGATTAAAATGTTGTACCATGTAGCCATGATTATAAGGCTTGGAGTTGAGACGCCTATATATTGTTGAACGTATTACCATTTATTCTTCAAATTGATTTTGTGATGATAATATAACTAGTAGTTATGTTTATTGCTAAACCGAAATCGAGCAATCACCTTGCATGTACATATTTTAAAAAGCTTCTAAATATAGTTTAAAAATTTGAATGGGGGATAACGAATCTAAGTTTTTTTTTTCTTGATAAAAATTAAACTAAAACTCCACCTTATTTAGATCATTTGTGATTGATTTGACGTAGATTAATTGATGTTATTGTAATACTCTTAACATAGGTGGCGCTGTCATTCATATTTGACAATCTACTGACTACAAAACTAAAGGTAATGCCAGAAGCCTGGCCGTTCCTGAAACCGGTCAACAAAAAACAAGTTAAGGATTACTACAGTGTTATAAAGAAACCAATTGATATGGAGACTATGGGTAAAAGGATTCAAGGTAAGATGAAATAGAGTAAAATTATCAATACATATTTTTTACGAACTTTTTTGCGATTTTGTTCATGACTCGAATAAACAGTAGTCTATGTATTTCTCCATTTTATATAGTATGTACATACCAAATTTCATAGTGATTGGTTAAGCGGTTAAGGCGCTAAGATGTAACAAACAAATAAACTCACTAATTATTAAGTTTATTACTAGTGTATATTTAGTTTATATAATATTTTGTTTTGTTATACATTGATTATTTAATTTTATTATATTGGTCCTATAATAATCACTAATAATAACGAGTCGTAACTCTTAATCTAATGTGGAGAGGACTTGGATGGCTTGTACGTTTATTAATGTGATATAATAAAAATATTTGTGCCATTAAATTTATTTTTAAATTAATATTTCTGACGATTTCTTTAATTTTGTTAGTTATTTGATTTTTATAAATATTTGACATTAACTGGGCCCAGATGAATAATTAAATTTTATTATACTTATTAAGTATTTGTCTATATTTTTGTTTATTAGTTATCTGTCATGTTTCGTCTTAATAATGGTCAAACGGATGTGTCGAGACATCCGTTTGCTTTGTGGTAGCCATATCCTACTAATATAATATATTTGTAACTAGGCGATGTCAGTACATGGAAGATGTTTAAGAAAGAATAATGTGAAAGCCAAAGAGCCAAAATAATATTTTTTTAGAACTTTTACTTGTCTCAATTGATTAACCAATGCTAATAATGTTTAATCACTGTTTCACTTTACTCATGTTTATAATAACTAAATTAGCTCACTGTAAACCACATAATAGACCTCTGATTATTATACCTCTCGAAATACACCGTCTCACAGTGACAGATCATATTCTCATTATAATCTTTTTGTATGTACATTTTCTTAATAATATTTATTATTCAACTACTACCAATGCGCACTTCATTGATAGCTAGATACATCGGAGTAGATGGATCGTTCAAATAACAAATGGTTCTCTAAAAATATTTGTTAAATATGTTACCTACCATAATAAAAGATTAATACAGACTTTTTCATTACCACAGCTCACAAATATCACAGTCGCGAAGAGTTCTTACGTGATATACAATTACTTGTGGACAATTGCCGTGCATACAACGGCCCTAATTCGCAATTTACAAGGCAAGCCGAAGAGATACTGAGAGTAACACAAGAAGCGTTAGAACAGGTAAATCAATTGGTTTAAATAGTTAAGGTTTAAATAATAAGTGTCAGTAAAATTTCTATATTTAAGTCTAAACAAATTTTCTAGAATAGAACCTATAAAGTTCTGTATTGCAATAAAATACACAGTAGTGTTTATTTATTTAGACATTAATAATTTTGCTGGTTTTACACGGGTAAATATAAATTTCTAAAATAATATATACCATGATATACAGTAATGCACTACACTGATAATGCAGCTTTCTATAGGAATTGAAAGAATTTTTAAAATTGATTTAAAAAGAAACGAACATCAAAAATTTTCTTGTTTATTGCATTATAGTCTAGATTATGGCCATTTTTTAGATGTTTTATTAATTAATGTGTTACTACTACACACTTTAATTACACTTTTATTTCCTAAAATACACATGTATATGTAAAAGTATTTTTCATTATCCAACCTAGAACGATAAAAAAGCTGACAGCCCATCTGATGGAAAGTGGTAACGGATGTCTATAGACATAACAGTGTATACTGTACCGCCTATAATACTCTTCATAAATAATAAATGTTGAATGATAATATATTGCAAAATCCATTCTAATAACTTATTTACACTGCCCACAGTTTGGCGAGAATGTGAGTCAATTAGAAGCAAATATTGCTCGTGTGCAACAAAAGATGTTGGAAGATGCCGAGCATTCGGATTTGGAGCCAGAAGAACCGCCGCCACCGTCGGACGAGAAACGCGGTAGAGGCCGCCCTAGGAAACACAAGCCGTCCACATCAACCGCTACTAGTGATGGTAAGATTTATATTTTATTTCAATAGTCATAAATATACATTTTATTAAAATTTGTCTTAAAAAGAATATGAATAAAGAGGGATATGTTCAGTAATGGAGAGTGTGTGTTTACCCTAATTCGCCCTAGTAATGTGTCTGATTAACATTGATTTTATATACTGATTTTATTTGCATGAAATATATAGAATCATCTTAATTATTTTAAAACCGACACCATTATCCACAGATTACTATTGATATATTATTCTTAATCTATGTTACTTTAATTTTAACATTACCTGTGGCTACTTAAAACATCTATCACCTTTTTTAAAATTTGTTATGTGATTGACGATATAAATAGTAGCCTATGTCCTTTTTATCTCATATAATACGTTTATATCAAATTTTATGTCAGTTAATCCGTTAAGGAGGCAAGAGGTAATAAATTCACTTTCACATTTATAATAGTATTTATTATTTAATATTGGCTTTATCTACTAGTATGTACTTTCTTAAATCTGATTAGGTATTAATAATTATTAATATATAGGTATTTGTTAAAAAAAAATTAAATGCTTATTATTATTAATAGCTTAATATGGTTCGTAATATAATTGACTTATTTGTAGGTGCTACTCCCAGGAAGCGCGGTAGACCAAAGAAGGATCAAAATAGCTTGGAAGAAGGTAAATCATTTTAATTTAATTGTTTAAATAAATATTTTGTGCATTTATTTGCTACAGATAATAACACGTTTGTATTGAAACACAAAACTGTTTAATCGCAGTGATAGTAATTTATCAAAAAAAAAAAAACAATCTTAATACTATTCACATAATTAATTATACTAAATTCATTACCTGAATAAAAACGTAGACGTATAAAGTAAGGAGTTTGACCATGTTTTTCTGTCCAGATTAAAAAAAATCCTGTTATATGAAAATGTAACATAATTAAATAAATTGATTATAATATTTTTGACATTTTAGGTATGAGTTGTAATACCAAACAAGCTGACGGTCTCAACACATGGAAAATTTACCACTTTCTCCATAACCTATAGATATGTACGCATACATAAGTATATTAGTATGCTCGTAATTCAACTTATGCATTGCCCTTGATTTTCTGCTCACTTTTTTATCATTTTTTTTGTTATTTCATCAGATTTACAGTATTCTGATAGCGGTAGTTCAGAATTAGAAGAGGTGGAACAGAAAGATGCTGCTGAAGCCATGGTACAATTGTCCGTGCGTCCTGGTAAGATTTATTTTTATATTTTTAGTTATATGTTTATTTGTTTATGTAGTGTACACTGCCTGACAGCCCACCTAATAGTCCATGTCTATAGGCGATGGTTACCAAAGTAGTTACAGTCGCTTATAACTCCTCATTCATCGACTGCTGCTGAATATATTAAGGTTTTGTCATATTTTGCCACGAAATACGAATCTGCTCGTCGCTCCATCTCGCGGTGGCACTTCTTATATTTTGTTATATATTAGATTAGGGTGGGATATGGCAATTAAATTACAGAGTATATTTATGTAACACCTTAGTTCTCAGGAATGTTAACGCATTAAGGGTAACATGGATGACACAGTATACACACGCATGCTCTCACGCATGCACGCACACTCGCGCGCACTTACACACACACGCACTTGCATACGCATACACAGTTTAGGGACCGGGACGAAAAGTAATTCATGTCCTTCTTCATAACAAAATTCAAGATCAGTTGAATTACTTTGGGGTCAAGTTGCAATAAACAAACAAACTCACTTTTACATATATAATATTAGTGGGACTAGGGTCTGGAAGGAATTTATAAAGTAGTTTCAGTCTATGCATATTATCTGTTTAAATTTATTGGTTTTTAATCATGTGTCCATTCCGCAGAGGATGATGTTCCACCAAGCGATGTGCCTTTCGACACGTCCGAGTTCCTGATCAAACGAGAGGTGCCAGACGAGCCCCCGCAGCCGTCCGATGATCTTGTGGACCTCGACCAGCATACCTCCGATTATACATATCCACCTGTTGTTAAGGTATTCATATTATTTCGCTAGTTTCAGATAGAAATGTATATATTTGAGATAAATTATTAATGAGATAATAAATATTTATGATTAATAGTTTTAGTCAATAATAAACTTGAGATATTTATAGAATATTGTTTTTATGTTCGCATACGCCATGTGCATTTTCAAAAAATGTGTAGAATTTTTATTAATTGTGCGGTGTCGACTAAACTGAATTTCGGGACCTTTGTCTATAATTCGGTGCACCACTGAGTCATGACACTTTAAAAATATTATAATTCATAATTATATAAAAAAGATAATTGCTTAAGTTGCCACCAAGAATCCTACGGAAAGTTGATATACCTGAAATAATATTACCTTTCCAATGGAGAAAAAAAAAAGTTTCCAATTTACAATTTTTTTTAGGAGGAACCTATTGAGCCAGACATGAATATGGATCCGCCGTCCATTATGGATGGCCCATCGATAGAGCCGCCGCAATTCAAAGAGGAACCACCAGAAAACTGGCAGGTTAGTAACTGTTTAATTTTGAAATTGTGTTTTCTTGTGAATGGAATGGACGTATCTATTGTATTTGTAGAAGTGAGAATCGATAATAACTTTTTTAATTACTCTAAAAATGTAGGAAGGTGCCACTTTAACAACTTTTGTGTTGTAATATTATTATAACTTTTTCTGACATTTCTAGACTGACTTTCATTACCCACCATCCATACCTGATCCTGATTCCATTCCATATCTGACTGGTTTTGTTTAAAATTCAGTTTTCTTTTTTTAAGTGCTTAAAATTTATGAAGACTTAAAATTGATACAAATAATTATAGATTTTCTTGAAAATATCGATGCGTTCAAATAAATAATTATTCGTGATAAGAAAAGATAATTTAAAAAAATTTGTTTCCAGCCGGATCCGGCCATACAAGATGATTTGCAAGTAACAGATAGCGAAGAAGAAGCCGAAGATGGACTGTGGTTTTAAATGTATTGTATTATATAAATTAACAATTATATTGTAAGATTTTAAATGGAGATGAAATATTATGTAGATTAATAATTGTTTTATAATGTAATGAAATATATATTTATGATTTTTTTTTTAATTAATAATAGTCACAAAATTCCCTTTATATAAGGATATAATGCTACGACTACAAGTATGTATCATATGTTTTGACAATTTTTCCTGTATTAATTGTGAAAACTGAAGTTGAAATTAATAATAATAGACATAACTTTTGTGGAATGAAGTATTTTTTTTTTATATTACGTAAGTGGCAAAGAAGGATGCAGCCATATGGGGGTAAATAGTCATTGTATCCTCAGGACGCTTGCTACACTAGGGGTATCACGTGCTCGTTGCCTACTTTGATATTAAAAAAAATTAAAAATGTATTTATTGGAACCATAAAAAATTACAATTGTAGGGTAGTGTACGATAAATGATGAAACCTTAATATACCCTTTTTGAACAATTTAATACAATAGTGTTTAGGGAAAACCTCGGCAGTGAACTCAATCCACAACTTGAGCGTTCGCGGAAAGAACTCCTTTGAAACCGCATTATACGCGACCATTTAAGTTTAAGCGTTGAGGTTGAATTCCCTGTCGATAGCGAGCAGTTCGATAAAAGTCAACTGTAGGCATCATTTTAAAAAAATCGTAAGAGCACAATCTATTATACAAGCGATAGAATACACACACAGAGACAAAATCTCGCTTTAAAAATTCAAACAAAATTCGCGTCTCTTTTTGTGTGTTCGAGAGCTCAATATCACCTGTGAGCTTGGGATCGTATATGGAAAAGTGGACTATAAAGTGTAAATGTAAATAAACTACTTATTCTTTCTAAAATAGAATTACAACAAAGTTTATTTAATGGATAATAATGAAATGATAATCCCGTCTACACTATCGGCATACGTGGGTAGGGCACCAGTGAGGAATGATCGGTGAGGATCAAAAGCAGCTCAGCCTATCGTGACGAATTTAATGATAAATTAGTCAGGATAGTTTCCAGGGAAACCGCTTGGAGGACTACCTGATAGGGTATATTGATAGCAATGGGGACTAACTTGTTTTTTATATAACTTAAAATGGTAAACAAGCTGACGGCCCACCTGATGGAAAGTGGTAATCGTCGCCTATAGACATGAGCAGTACCATGGACATAACAGAGTATACTGTTTCGTCCATGATACCCCCCATGCGTTGCCATTCCTGAGGACTCAGGTGTTATTCCTCTGTACCCAGTAAATTCACGCCATATCCCACCCTTCAAACCAAAACACAGCCATGTAAACACAACTGCTTCACGGTTGAAACACGAATTACTAGCAGTCCCTTCCCCCCATGGTAATAAAGTTGGTCCCATATAACAAAGGGGCCAACGTTTAAGAAAACTGTATCGTACACGAAGAGCATGATCAAAATTGCTTCAGAGTTGTCGAAGCCATCGCATGAATTTAAAACCTGCTTTTGAATGTAGCTTAGAAGCACGAATAACGGAATAGAGAATGGCGTCAAATATAGACGAATGCCATTACGAAAGCATAAGAGCGCCATCTGTATATGCGACAAATTGAATATTTAGTACTTTTTCCTTCCAACAGAGATAAAATCACGTTTGGATGTAATAAGCGATGTCGCTTTAATATATTTTCATTATGTATGCTTTTAGTAAGCTAATAGATCTGAGAGACGTTTTACGAACGATCTTTCACGTAAAAATACTCATTTAAATGGATGCAAATGGATTGGTAACTCGGACTGAGATTATCATGGCTTATTGGTTCATCATGATAGGTTATAAATGGTCCTTGATGGATGATAATGGAATGATAATCCCATCTGTGCTATCACTATACTTTGGCGGGGCACCAGTGGGTGGTGATAGGTGAGAATGAAACCAGATCAGTTAGCCCATTGTGAAGGATTCGACAAAATTAATCATGATAGTTTCCAAGGGGAACCACGTGGAGGTCGACCTAACAAGGTGTGTTGCTAGCAATTGAGATTAATGTTCCTATTATTAATAATCCGTCTCCTCTCGGGGTACCAGTTGGCCTATTGAAACAAATATACCAGTAAGTATTAACTACGGGGGTTTCCAGAGAAGACCGCACGAAAGTCTTACAGACCGGGTACATTGCTAGCATTAGAATAACAATTCATGCATACGGTAAATATGTTTCGCAAACTGGTGTTAATTTAATACACTTTCATTTTATGTATGTCAGGTTTTGCATATGGGAATTTATTGTCATTATTATTGCAGGTGGCCTATGATGATGATGAATATTATCGTACTATCTGTTCTGAAGTGATACGCTTAGATTTAGCAATTAATTTGCAGGTTTTACTCATTGAACACTCTTTTAATAGAGTGATACTATTTTTGATTTCATCTATATATATATGGACAAGGTTGTTTTTTTTATACAACTAAGAATGGCAAACAAGCTGACGGCCCACTTGATGGAAAGTGGTAACCATCGCCTATAGACATGAGCAGTACCATGGACATAACAGAGTATACTGTTTCCCCATGATACGTTGCCATTCCTGAGGTGGAAAGGTAATATCGATATGGGGTTAGACTTGTAGGCACGGGGCCCAGTAGTGGAATGTTAATGGGTTGCTAAGGCAAATTTATGTATCTATCTATTCATACAAGTAAAAATATTTAATAAACTCAACCATTTCCCAATTTACGCCTCGTGTTTGTGAACAGGTCGTTTGAAGCTTTCGATGAGTTTTTTTTTTCAGTTAGTAAATATAACAGTATGAGTACGTCTAGGTGATTCAATTTTGACCAAAATATTACGTGATAAATTCAACTCGACTGAGCAGTGTTCACTAAACATTGGCCATTGAATTCTATGTTACAGGTATTTTCATAACAAAGATTACGTGCTCATTATGCCGTACTTTGTGTATATTTTAATGAGAGATCATAGCTCACTTTGACTATGGTTCGTTGATCTTAAAATCAAATCCAAGACCAAAATGTATTCGAATTTTGTAAATTCATGTTTGAATTATTCGTAGGATAAACCATGTTAGAGGCCTTTGTATATAACAAAGGCGGCCTATAAATTTTTGACATAAGAGAGTGGTTATAACAGTCGTACAACAAACCTTACAAGAGTCGTATTAATATATTTCAAAATGTTTCACTGTAAAATGGAAACTTGTTGAATTTTAGCGCATACTTTTATGATCATATAATAGTCGTGTATGAACTTCTTTAAAGTGAAACATAAGTAAGACTTTATGCTTAGAATCGTTGAAAATAATCTGGTCATATCGTCATTATTACACCAGTCGTTAATTATCCATTGTAGAAATAATAGGGACAGTCTATGGGTTGGCCTATGGGCCATTTAACTATTATTCCTTTTATTTTCCATTGAAGGGTTTTGCCAGTAATCGCCACACTTGGCAAGTGGCCTGGCAACCGCAATTGGGCTTTTTTGATGTTTTAAGAAGGACGCTACTGCACATCGCTTGACGATTAAGTTTCCATAGTCGTCTTTTACAACACCTAAGGAAAAGGAAGGGTCTGGTCATATCATCATCATCATTTCAGCCATTACCTGTCCATTGTTGAACATAGGCCTCCCCCATAGACTATCTGGTTATATATAGGTAGTTAAATAAAAATTTGTACAAATAGTCTCAGTTATAAATATGAAATACAATACGCGTTATTTCAATGTAAACGAAAATCTTTAACTAACGCGCAAACGCAATGCTAGTGCGAGAGTGATGGTTATAACCAGTATTATACCTATATAACTCCTACACACAAAGTATAGATTATTTGCCCCAATAGGAGTTTTATTTATCCAAAAATACGTCACGTTTACCCGTGTCATGATTTATTCAACAATTTGGCAGGGTGTTTCAACCCCCATCGCCCTACGTCCGTGCAACAGCGGAGACCTATTTTTTAAATCGAGAGAACACGTTTGGTGGGCGATGGTCATCATATATCACTTGCACGCTTAATGTGCGGTTTAGAACGTACAAACCTCTAAATATAACATTTATTACCACTCGTATAAGCGGACCTCAACCTAAAAGGGTACGGGACATGGAAATGTATAATGCAGCTGAATATAAATAGAAACTGGAATGTTTTGAAACGAAGTGATGTATGTGATAAGAATTTTACAAAATTTTACCTATTTAGACTCGGAGGAAAGGTGTCATCTTCAGTAAAGGTCGTTTTATTATGCGTATTATAATGAGTATGTTGACGTATTGCTAAAGTAGGTTTTATAATTATACCACAGTAATCATAGACTTATATTGTTTATAGTACTATAATCATAGATATGCACATCTGACTATATCTGACACATAAATCAATATGCAAAAACTTACTTAGCTAGTTAAATGTTTTTTTTTTAATCTGAAGTGGCATACATGCTAAATATATATTAATTAATTTTTATCTTTAATTTTGCTAATTAAATTATTGCCAAAAAATAAAATACCATAGCAGCTACTAGAATTTACGTCACTTACCAACTCTTGTATTCTTATACATAACGCATAAGTCCTATGTAAGTATCTGTAGACATTCTTTTATTATACTTGTATTTATTTCTTTATTAACTTTCTTTGTAGTGCAATGTGAAATAAGTCGGACCTTGTTTTGTGAACGCTTTGAAATAGTTAAATGCTTAAATCTCTTATGTTATGTTCACTCAAGTAAAATCTTTTTTTCAGTTAGTCGAGGCAGAGATTTGTAATAAAGTTACTCCGGGGAGGTTTATTATTAAATATTTATTTGAAGTAAATTTGCAATCGGACGTATCCTACGAGTATAAATAATAAATAACTTGAAAGGACTAAGGGTAACACTTATATAATATAGATTTGAGAGCACTAATACGTTATTAAAGTGTATTGGTGTATATTAACATTATTGACTCGAGATAGTAAAGTTAGGTATCTTATTTTTCTTATATGTATGATGAAGTGAAATGAAGAAAAGGTATCTATCGATTGATAAGTTAACGATACGTTTAGAGGATTTCTCAAAAAGAGGCTTTATGTGACGAATGAATCATATTACGATGGTTGTAA